AGACATTCACTTATGAACTCCCAAAAATAGAATAATTAAGATGATTATTTATCATGATAACTTATTTATCATGATAGCTTATTAGTGAAATTCTTCAGTTTCATAAGAAATTTCATGCATCCTATGCATAATTGCTTTTTAACACAAACATGTAAGGTGCCTTCGAAACTGTGCTTTCTTTGATCCTTGGAGTAGCAAGTCTTTATTATCTGTTAAGAAATCAAAGTATTTTCAGATATATACCATTCTGAATTATTCCCAGGTATATCAAAAATGGCATATATGTTAGAACAGGAAAAGAAAATGGCTGTTTTATGTCTTCATTAAAATGTGGGAGTAAAACTAATTTTCTATTGTGGTTTTCAAATTAATGAAAATAATTCTTCGTTGATATAGGAATGTCAAAATAATTTTCTAAAATATTTTTCAGTTTTAAGGTTATGACTCTATATATTTATCTAGAATAAGCCCTATACAAATATTAATTAGGAAAGGCATTGGAATGCAGATAAAACTTTAGGATTTTCTTAAAGGCCTATAAGTGGTGCTTTGACAGATTTCAAGTAGAAAAAGGCTTCTCTTTCACACTTTTCAAAGACAAATAAATTAGAAGAACCTCTGCTGCAAAATTTTAACTGTTTGGGCAGAAAAACATTGGCCTCCATCTGTTTAAAACACCAAGGACCAAATCAATTCTCAGCTGTTCAGTTTGGTTTGGAAATATGCGATCTGTAAACAATATACTGTAGCTGCAACAGCATATGTGTCATACAATCCAACCATCTGACTCTTCCATCTGATTCTTAGGTTATCTACATTGCTCAATTTCCTCATTATCAAAACAAGTCAGCAACTTTTTTTAGAGGGCAGAAACAGATGAAATCATTCTGTACTCACCCCCCTCCCTTCCATTGCAAATGCAATGTCTGGGCATGGTTTCCTGTTGCAGGTTTAAAGCACTGTTTTCCCTCTTTATGTTGCTTTCAGCAATCCTGTTCATTTTGGCTGATGCACTTTTTTGGATTAGCCCCAGAGCAGGAATTCCCCTCAACTGAGTCAATAGTTGCAATGATCTCTAATGTCTTTTAGAGCTACCTCCCTTACATCAGAGACATTCCAGAGTCCACCAATAGCTACTCTGACAACTCAGGTTAAGTGAAGCATATAAACCAACAAATCCATGCAAAGCTTTCTGAGTGGCCCATAAACCCAGTACCCAAAGAAGCAAAATGAGAATAGTATATAAAATAGATTACAAAAACTGTGAACCCATTACAGGCAAATTGAAGATTAGCAAAAAACCAAAAATACTAATGGGCAACCCAAAGACACCACTTATATAAAATTCTAATACCCTAGGAGGGCCTTCACACACCTTCATGCTATGTGCCATTGCACCCTTTCCTACACTGAAAGGCTCTTGTAGTGGTATGCAGAAAAGACTTTGGGAGACAGGGTGAAGACATGCTGCCTAGGGCCGGCATGTCAAACTGCCAGCCCACGGGCCGGATGCGTCATGCCGAAACCGCACCCACCCCATTGCTGGCAATGGGGGAAAAGTCCCGATACGTCACAAGTTTGACATGCCTGGCCTAGGGAATGCTCAGATACACTAAGAGTCAGCACAGTTTGCAGCTGGATAGTGGGCAGAACAAGAGGCTCAGAAGTGACCCTAATTTCTTGGGCTGTAAAGGAGATGACAGGAGAATTGTACTTTAGACTTTCAAAATTCTGTTAATATAGCTTTACCACAGGGTAAAATTAACTTATCTGGATGTGTTTCCTCTCTGATCTATCTGGCAAGACTGACAGCTCTGCTCATGGTCACTAATGCCATGTTCACTTCCTAGGGCCAACTGCTATAATGTGCTCTACATGAGGCTGTCCTTGAGCATCTAGAAACTTCAATTGGTACAAAATGTGGCAATGTAGGCAATTACATGCGTCCTAGAATGGCACATATTATGACTCTGCTCCATGAGTTCCATTGGTTGCCAGTTTGCTTACACATCTAAGTCAAGGTGCTCATTTTGACTTTTAAAGCCCTTCGTGGCACGGGATCAGGTTTGACAGACCATCTGATCATGTCTGCCCATCCCATCAGTTCTGGCAGGAGAGATATGTTGCGAGTCCTGTCTATTAAGAAGCTACATCTGGCAGGAACCAGGAGACAGGCCTTTTCTGCTATGGAGTCCTCCCTGTGGAGCATTATTTCCCCAGAGGTGAGATTGGTTGCATCCTTGGTAACATGGCTGTATCAAACAGCCTTGGCAATCTCAGAAAAATGGGGAACTGGTGAGATGGCTACAGCGTAACACCAAAGATGCTTTTGAGAGTCACAATTGTAAGGTGGGCAGTTATAAAAATGTGATGAATATAAATATATAAATAGAATATTACGTATTCAATCCAATATCATTGGCAACCTTTGCACTGGCAGCTTTGCATTGTATTGAAACATTGCATTACTAAGGTTGGTTTGGGATCAACTATCATTGTTAGGTACAGATTCTGGAGCAACAGTAGGAAAAGCATGCAGATATTGTATCTGTAGAATGCAAAATCATGGTGTTTCCCTTTTTCAATGTAAATCGTAAGGCCAGTTATGTCTGTTTAGGTGTGTGTCATGTATGTGTTTCACTTTGAGAGCGGGCAACTAAATTTCATTTTTGATATGTGCCGTTGTGCCCACAGTAAAAAAAAATGACAATAAAAGTTATCTTATCTTATCTTATCTTATCTTATCTTATCTTATCTTATCTTATCTTATCTTATTTTATCTTATCTTATCTTATCTTACCTATCTTCTAAATGTTGCTGCTGTTTGATCATTTTATTATTTATTTTTGTGCCTTTGAGTCAGTATTGACTCCTGGAGAATCTTAGATAAGCCCTTGAAGTCTTCTTGGCAAGATTTCAAAAGTAGTTTGCCATACCCTGCTTCCTAGGGCTGAGAGAGAGTAGCTTGCCCAAGGTCACCTAACTGGATTTGTGACTCAGGCAGAGTTAGAACTCATGATCTCCCAGTTTTTAGCCTGGTACATTAATCAAGACACCAAACTGACTCTCCTTATAATCTACTGTATATCATCAAACTGTAGCAGTAAGATGGGACTATATTGAGACACCTGCTGCTGGTATATTTTATGGTTTTGTTTTAAAAAAATCTATTATTCAGTCATATCCATTTCTCTGAGGGTACTCTAAAAATATTTAGTGTATTTTAAATCTGCTTTATAAGCATAATTTAAAAAATGAAGGGTATACAGAAAGATATCTTGTGAATCATTAATTGATACTTAGTAAATTACAAACACTACTTTGCTGCAAACTGAATCCAGTTCAAACAATCACAACTGCTTTAAAATTTCACTAGAGGGCACTACAATTCCAGTCAGCTGCTCAGTGCACATAAGTATAAAAAAATACATAGAAAAGGAGGCTGGTAAGTTGGGCCCAATGATCACAATGGCTTTGTTTGCTCATAACACAGCAATCTGGAGTAGGTCAAAACAGAGTAGCCTTGAATTTTGGAATCTTTGCTCTTTTATATAAGCAAAGCCATGCAAAAAAACTTTGAGGCAGTAGGAAGGAGAATGTCCCACAGTACCAATATCCTAGCCCAGTTCAATCTATAGTGGAAGACAGTGCAAAACAATGCTACATAACCCAAAATATAATCCTAAAAAATGTTTCAGAGTAGTGGGTGGACGGGATTGGTTCATACTGTAAAGTAAGCATAATACATTTGATTCAGCTAGTCTAGAACCATTGTGTAATTCAACAAAGTTGCACAAAAGACAATTGGTGTAAATGTCATTATATTTTGTGTGTACACTCTTACATCACAACTAAATTAAACAACATTGTGGATTAAATTTTCAGTAAATGAAAGGACACAATGTATATCACACCTGCTCAGATTATCAAAGCTAATGTAAATAATTCAATATGCGACCACAGCACTTCCAGTCTTTGGACTAATATAAAATTGTACAGGAAAGAAGTTTATTGGTGGCCTCTTCAACTGGACTAGTAAATAATTCCAGAAGCTTTGGCGACATCAAAAAAAATGTAACAGTTTATTTCACAATTTTCATAAAACACATTCATCCTAAATGTAAAAGTTAAATTGCCATAGCAACGCTACTAGTCAAATTAAGATCAAGTGAATTAAAAATAAAATCGTCGTTTATTTCAGATAGTAGCTAGGAAGGTTCTGCAATTGTACAAGCAACTTCTTGAATGAGTGTTAAACTGATTTGCAATTACAGTCTTATCCAATTGCAACGCAAAGGCCACCTGAATCCAACTTTCCTGGGTCCTCGGATTCCGACGAGCGAGCGTGGGTTGAACGCGTTACGCAAAGAGAGGAACAAGGGCAGCAAAATGCCTCGTTTCCCAGGAGACCGTTCTGAACACCTCTTAAGCCCGAGCACACCGACTAGGTACGAGCTGATTTAAACGTTGAAATATGCGCTCTCCTCCGCAACTTGAGTGCTCTTTCCAACCCTCCAGAGCCCGCCCGGAATTCAAGTGGGCGGTTACAAAGGCAGCAGCCGTGAAAATTATATGATGTCAGCCCCTCTCAGCCGTCCCGGCAGCTTTGGAAAGCTGGCTTAAGGGAGAGAAGATGCCTTCGCGGGGCGGACGAGACTTGTAACATTTGAGCACTGAACGCCACAGGTAAGGGAGCGCGAAGGAAGGCCGCAGAAAGTGGCCGTGGCCACTCGGGGGAGGGAAGGTGAACAACAACAACCCCCCCACTGAGCCTCCCACTTCCTCTTGGGATTTCCTCGAGTGACGAAATAAAGTCTCTCCAGCGAAAGATCTTTCTGGGCTTTTTGCTGGCCCGTCCGATGACTTGCTCTGTTTCTAAATCATGTCGGGCAGGGCGGATGGGCAGCGCGGCTTGAGCAGAAAGGTGTGTATTTTTGTGTTTTTTTTTTGTTGTTCTCTCGCCTGAGGCACTTGCTTACTTTTCCTTTGTCCTGCTCGTTCAAGGTACATGCTGCCCGTCCGAATCGCTTTTCTTAACGATTAAGAAGGACGGTTTGGCCGAAAACGAAATTAGCTTGAGAAAGAGACCGAAGAAGTTGTCAGGGGGCGTAAGCTAAATCTCTGCTTCCTTCTCGCGAAGTGGCTCTGATGTATTCAACTGATATATTCAACTTTCTGTGAACCCACCAGGCAGCCTCGAAAGAGCTCCGTTGTAATTGCAGCTAGTCCAAGAGTGCTCGGGAGGCACTGGGTATGTTGAGGCTAGAGACTGTATTACTGAAAGAGGGGAAATCAGTGAAATTTTAGGGTTGCCAGGTGTCCACTATTTGAGTGGACAGTCCACTTTTTTCACATTATGTTCACTATTTTTTTTTATTCAAAAGCTTTATGATGAAATGGTACATAATCTAAAGCTGTACAGTCTACTTTTTTTACTACTTAACCACCACCACCCCCCGCTTGTCCGCTATTTTTTGGAAGCAGACCTGGCAACCCTACAGTGAATCCATCGGCAGGACATCGTTCTTGGGCTATGTTTAAATTTGTTTCGTGGATTCTGGTTAATATCTTCAGTGCTGGTTAACTATACGTGTATGCCCTTTCATCCCTGTAGTTCAGGGTCTCTTGCTTTGTGAGTGGGGTTTTGTGAGCCAGGCAACTTTGCCATGGAAAAAATTGTGCGAAGGAAATGTGGTAGCAGAAGGGTGTAAGAATCTTGGCATATATAAACCTCTCTTCAGTAGTTGTATCCCTCTTGCCTTCTGATTCTTGTGTAATTTCTGGGAACAGTCCAACGCCATTTATATTATGAAACCACAATGGTTGTACAGGTTAGGCTAGTTTGTGAGAGTTCTGTAGCCTCTTTCTAATGCAGCGTTCATTGTATCGGACTTGTGCTAACTTGTTTCCAATATTCTTACAAGCCAGATGAATCCTTTCTAAAGTCTGCGGTGACTAATCTATTAATATTTTCTTGACAGGCATCAGGCTATGTTATTTTACGTTTTGCTATTTCAGCTGCTTAGAAATTTGTCTGCATTTCCTCACTGCTCAATACAAATCAAGGAATCAAAGGGTGCAATAGAAGAAGGTAACTTATTTATATTAATCATTGTATTTTTGTATTAAAATTGTTCCTAATATGAAGGACAAAACCAAAGAAGTGCAAAATTATAATTGTATACTGTAGCCTAATCTAAATGCTGTTGCCCAAAATGATTCAGTCGGAAGGTAGTCAACCTAAAGGAATGAAACCAGAGATTAATTGTTTTGGATTTAAACCAGTTTTTTTAAAGATAATTTCTTTTTAACTACGGTAGCATGTTTTGTTAAACATTGCAATATGTTACAACCAGTCATATGAATATGAGATCTACCCTTCCAGGAATGTAGTAAAAAAACATTACTTTCATGTTAAGTGGTTGTAGCACTGATTAGAGAATTATATCGGTTTGTAAATGGTCTAAAGAAGTAGACGTCGAAGATCTCGGGATCGAGTCGTCAAGAGTTGGATACCCAGCGCTGGGGTAAACCCCAGCTAGCTGGTAAAGTGCCCCCAGCGGTTCGTTCCGACAGGCGGTAAAAAATTCCCTTTTCCGGCGGGTGCCTTACCTCCCTTGGGCTGGGCCAGCTGGTGGTTGGCCTGCTCCATCTCTGCCGCTTGCCAGCTACGCCTCGGCTGGCGCAGGGGGCGGAACCACGCATGTGCGGCGCTCCCAGGCAGGGAAAGTCCTTGATTTACGACCGGTTGGGTAGTCCTCGGCTTACAACCGGTTTAGTCCTCGACTTACGACTTGTTTAGTCCTCAACTTACAACCGGTTTAGTCCTCAATTTACGACCGGTTGGGGGTCGCAGCATTAAAAAGGTTGAGAACCACTGCCCTAGCTAGTTCTGAAATTCCTATATTCTTCCAAACTCAGTTTGACTGATTATATATGAAACATTTCTGTGAGGCTTTCCTTTCTTCTTTCTGTTATCACTTTAAATATACAGGTAATCCTTGACTTACAACAGCTCATTCAGTGACTGGTCAAAATTACAATGGCACTGAAAAAAGTGACATGATTTTTTTTTCACATTTATGACCATTGCAGCATCCCCATGGTCACATGATCAAAATTCAGACTCTCGGTAACTGACTCATAGTTATGATGGCTGCAGTGTCCCAAGATTATGTCATAATTTTTTTGACCTTCTGACAAGCAAAGTTAATAGGGAAGCCAGATTCTCTTAACAACCATGTTACTAAGTTAATAACTGTAGTGATTCACTTAACAACTGTGCCAAGAATGGTCATAAAATGAGCAAATTTCACTGAACAGTTTCACTTAGCAACAAATTTTTGGCTCCGTTGTGGTTATAAGTCAAGGACTACCTGTATTAATGTTCAGTGGTAGAATTTCATGGGGTATTATTTCTCACCTTGAATGAAGTTTTTTTTTTTAAAAAAAATAACTGTGTAAAATTTGATGTTTGTCCAAATTATGAATCAAGATCTTTTTCTGGTGAACTGTAGAAATAGCTTGCGATTGCCTTTTTTTCAAGGATTTTATTTTACTTCCAGGCAGTACAGTTTTGGGATTTCTGGTCTCCCGTTCAAATACTAGAGAATCAGTTTGGTGAAGAGGTTACAGACACCAGAGTAGAAAACGGGACTGTGATTTTTAGTTCTGCCTTAGGCATAAAAGCCAGCTGGGTAAATTTGGGCCAGTCCTTCTCTTGGCCCTAGGAAAATGGAAAACCATTTCTGGAAAAATATTGCCAAGAAAAATGCCAGGTCTTCTCCAGTCAGCCACCAGAAGTCAAGGCTGATTCAAAAGCACAAAGCAAATATACCAAATCTAAGGACTACCCAGGTGTAACCACATTGCCTTTCTGAGTTCAAGCCAAATTGTGATAGAAAATTGTCAGACTGCTGACTGTCACCTAATCTTTTTTTAAAGTTGCCTTGGCAGACTCTAGTCTCACCAAATTTGCTAGCTCTTAATATACACCCTCTTTGGGCAAGTTCAGGTTCTTTTTAATAAATCCCTGCTGGTTATCTTCTATAATATTTTTGTAGTAAATAAGTTAGGTAAGGATGAACAATGATGCAGTCTGAAAGTTCTTACAGATCTATACTGCTGCATGCTAATGTATCACAGATGTTGAAAGAACATGGGTATATTTTATAGAATTAGACGGTGAGATTTGCTTCTTCCCCCTTGGAAAAAAGTAATTGCCTCAATTGTTTTGTTGGCTGGGGGATTAAGGGAAAAGTGGGTGATACCATTACAGAAAAGGGGGTGATACCATTCGTCAAGTTAGAGCACGGTTGTCAAACTTGCCACCTCACATGACGTGTCGCGACGTATCGTGACTCTTTTTGCATTGCGAGCAATGGGGTAGGTGCGGCTTTGGTATGATGAAACCGGCCCGCAGGCTGGCAGTTTGACACCCCTGAGTTAGAGCATAAGGTGACTTTCTTGCCCCTTAAACTCTCAGGCAAGCCAGCCACTTGTTATATGAAGGTAAAGGTGAGAAACATAGAAACTTAGGCCTCTAATTACAATCCACACTTGTCTTCAATTTTTACTCCTAACTGACCTTCCAAAATGAAAAATGTAAAAGTAATGATGGGTTTTAATAATAACATAAGATTAAACTACAAGGCATTCTAAAGAACAGGCATATCCATAATATCTGTATGTTTTCAATTATAACTCCAATATTCTGACTTTCGGCCAAGTTGACCTTTAGCCATTGTAAACTAGTAGATCTCTAGGACCTAGGATACCATGCCCATGTACTCCAGTCTAAATGGTCTTACAAAACTGTATTCATTAATTATGGGAAATAGGCACATTTTCTTAAATATCAGAAAATATCTATGTGCAGCTATTAAGATATCTGCCGCTCATTACAGTAGCATAGACTTTCCTGTGTAAAATTTCCCTTCGATGCTATGAAATAAGGAATCAAAACAATTAGCTTTTTGCCTTAATAGTAACAAATTAATGGATGTGTATTTTTTTCTTGGGAATTCCATTTGTGTATGTTAAAATGTAAGAAAAAGTCAATCAAGGCAACAATGAATAAAACAATGTTGCCAAACAAAGCTTGTCCCATCATTTGTATTTTATAGAAAAATGGAGATAACTTTTAAAAGAGACTATTAAACAATTCTGTGCTTATCAGATCTTTCATTTCTGTTGTTTTGATCAAAAAGTTATGTCCTGCATCTTTTGAAATTGCAGGTATGTTTTTTTAAAAAAAACATTATTTTTCTGGTGTTGTCATGCCTTATAACATTTAAGTAAAAGATACTTTAATTCAAATGACAAGCTAAAAAGTGGGTTCTGGCACGCAGACTGACATCTGGCATCTTTCTCATGCTGCCAGGGTTGCAGGAATGTAGAAGAGATATTGTACAATATAAATCACAAGGACCACACAGTTTTCTGGTGTGATTTGGAAAACATCGTAGATTTAAAAAATATAATGTGATTTAAAAACAGATTCATTGAATATTATGTTTTTCTCAATGTAGCAGTAATTAAAGAGTGAGCACACAAAGAATTATATAATTAAGTGGGGAGGAGTTTTAAACATGTAAACAAATCCTTGGCATTCTAAGGTATTAACATTATTTTAATTATATCATAGTATTCATCCTTGCAGAGAAATCTAATTTATTCATTGGACGGCGTCTTCAATACAACCGATTTGACTTTGAACTAATAACTCAAGGAGATCTTGAAAGAGAATGTTATGAAGAGCAATGCAATTTTGAGGAAGCAAGGGAAATTTTTGGAGATTCAAGAAAGACAGTAATTATTTAACTTACGAATGCTATTGAACGTTTGACCTGTGCATGACTTTCAATTGATAACAAGGCAACAGCATACTCTGCATAGGAGCAGCTGTTAACATTTCTTATATCCCCTAATAATGAAGCCTTCTACGTTAGCCCTTCTTTTTCTTCAGTTGTTTGAACTGTCGTGCAGGGATGGAAATTCACTTCTGGCAATAAGATTCAATAATTGTCACGATCCAACTATTTCAATTTAAATGTTTCTAAAATAACTCAGAATAATTTATTTAAAATATAAAATCATCTCTCTCCCATCTTTCTCTTTCCCAGT